AAAAAATGGTTATGTGTGTTTATTGATGTTTTTATCTACTTCTCGGTAATGGTTTATATTTTAAATTATACGCTTTGATCGGAACATGTTGATCTTTACTTTAAATTTTCTGGTTCGAATTCGGACACTATTTTTTTGTGGGAGTGGGAGTTCAGCCGATTCATTAGCCTTCCCTTTTCTTTCACTCACCTTTTTTTATATTCACAACGATGGAAGCTATTTATAGATACCTACTGAACCGAGGTTACGGTACGGGAACTATTAAGTTTTACAAAACGAAGACCAATATGCTAAATATACACCGCCAAATGACTACTAATAGTATCATGATGCAAAGAAACTTAAAGTGTTTGTATTATTTTATTTTTTGCAAGGTCAATATTGAGATTGAAATAAAATAATAACCAGTGTGATTAATTGATATTTTACGAGCACATTATAACATAATGTATGCAAAAAAAATAAAAATAGAGTTACGGTTCGGAGACAATGGTACAATAGAAACATAAAAATATCAAGTGGTAACTATCAATTGAATCAAGATTTAAATCATCGTATTCTATATACTTATATTATTAATTGTTTAATATTCATACTACATACAGTTTTTGAGTAGGTATGATATTAAATAATAAAATGTGTATAACACATCATCACTCATTTTAATGAAATTCATATATCCAGAAAATTAGTTTTGATATTAGTACTGTTTGAAATTTTGAATATTTTCATAATATAAAAACGACCACATCGTAAAAATACTTAAATTCGTATTTTATAAAATAGACATTGAAATTTTTTTTTTAGATATTTGTTTAGAACAATCGATCGGATAATACGATATTATCGTAATACTAATACGTAATAGTTTATATTATATACCTATCAACAACGACATTTGATGAATATAATTAAACATATAAAACATAATATAAATAAATAAAATAGTCGTTAATTAATCAAATAAAAACTAAAAATATGTGTCTTCATTAGCGGTTATTATACACTTATTGAGTAAAGACTTTAGACCATAATATTGGTGGTGCTAGGAGGAATTTCAAAAAATAAATTAATTTTAATAGGTATTAAACAGAGACTATGAAATTTAAGTATTGTTAAGTTAACAACATCGGAAAAAAGTTTACCAAAAAAAAATAAAAAAAAATACATAGCATTAATTTATCTATGAGTAATAAAAGAAAACAAAGCTGTTGAAATACTAGACTGTAGACATGGTGTCATAGTTTTAAAATAAGCAAAATTTCATAACTGTAAAGTTATTCATTTTATTTTTCATTAATATTGGAGAACATATTTAAATATTTTGTGTCATAATATACAATATGCGTATAATTATTCAGGTTTAATATAATATAATTCGTATTTCATATACAACATAGTACACTCATTATAGGAATATCAACTATCAAGCCTTGAACTAGTTGAATTATGTTATACGTTATTATTTATTATTTACACAGTTGTAATAAAAACAAAATTATTGACGTTGTTAGGTACCAATTTATAGATGCTTAACATTTATTCAAAACAATATAGTTACTTGATAAAAAGTTGGCTTTATAGTATAAATAAACGAGTAATAAGTTATTCAAATAATAATATTCTTTTAAAAGGTATTTTTTGTTTGATAAAATTCAAAGTTCTTTAGAAGATTTAAGATTTATTCCGCTTCATAATAGACTGGTAAAAGGATCGTGTTTATTTTGTGTATCACAAAATTTTATTAAAAATGTATTGTATATTCGTATAGGTAAGTACTTATATATTTTATAGAAAATTATGTACATTTTAATAGGTAAATAATATCAAAAAACGTCTCGGATAGCAATATATATATTTATTATAAAAGCATAATAAATTATAATAACTGTGGAGAGATATTAATAATATGTCAAGTTTAATGTGTAGACCTCTAAAATACATGTTGTTTAATAAAGCGGTTTTTATTAACAACAGTATTGTGCATTTTTGGCGAAGGTACATCGATACTGCAAGCAGCATATTATAAAATGCACTGTTACTAATATTAATTGTAGGTCAATGTAGTGCTTGCAAACTCTTCACGATTACAATCACCGTATGCGTCTAATTACTTTTACTTATCGAAGACGATAATACGACTTTATATTTATTAATTGCTCGTATACTAATTACAAATTAGGTATTGTAGTAACAATGATTAAATATAATTCGCAATATATATAAATATGCACAGTGGGTATTTTTAGAGTGATCGTGTTGAGCTTGGCCTAATAGTGTTTGTATACGGTAGATAACAATACTAATAATAATACATTCATTTTCCCAATATATTTTGAAAATTATTAATCTACAAAAATCTGCAAAACATGTATAAACGCAAAGTTCTTGGAAAATTCAATTTATTCTCCTTACGAATGTGTATATAAACTTTATTTTTTAAAGTAACTACTGCAATGTTATATATAATAGTAGGTACCTAAGATATAAGAACTTAATATTATTCAATTGATATAATAATCTGATAAAGGCGTTTCCAACTTGAACAATAATAATAGTCAACTAGTAATAATTTATCATACATTTTTGTTTGTCATTTATTAAATATTCTAATTTAAAGTCGTAGAACAGAAAATTATAACCAAGAAACTAGCTACCAGCATTTATTTTTCGATTACAGTATATTGAAATATAAAATTAAACACACAGCCATGTTTATTATTTTCTCTGACTTGTTTCAAGATATTTATCAAAATAAATTCACAGATTTAATTTTTTTACAATGTACCTACCTATGATTTTTTTCATAATAATAAAAAAAATACAATATAATACAACTTTAAATTATGAAAATTCCCTTGAACATCATAGTCTTAACACTTTTAACTGATAACTGCACGGAATATACCATTTATCAAACCATCCTAAAAAGGATGTAACTTAAAACAAAATAGCGCCATTTCATCATTTTTTTTAAGTATTATATTACTTAAACTACCTATATGATTCGTTTTTAAAATACAAAATTTCAATAGATATTGAATAATATGATGGTAAAGTACGAAGTATGGCATGTTGGTTCAATACTCAAGGCTAATCCTTAATTTATTTATCTATTTTCAGTTCAGTGAAGCAATTCTAAAAATTATGTTTATTTAATTGCTCAAAACTGATGGCTAATTTAGGTTACTAATAAAATATAGGTACTTTAAAATGTCCAACTATTAATTCCTAGTACCGATTTAAAGAAGTTCAATTTTACATTTATGAATATAACTATTCAAATAGTGGTGCTACCAGCAGAAGTATGGGAAAAATTTTAATTTCCTCGGAATGTTTTTTTTTTCAGTCAAAGTTATCACTTTTCTAGATAAAGAAAATGTACAATGTACTGTAAATAATTTACATCTGGTTAGAAAAAAAAATAAAAAGTTATGAGTACTATCCAATCAGCATTTGTTTTTACTGTTTTGTATATTACAAGTGCAAGACATTGCAAAATTTACACAGCAGTTTATTTTAGTTTTATAAATTTAAAATTTAAATCCTTTAGTAAATTTTTTCAATGTTTTATAATTTTAACTATTTATTTATTTTATATTTTACAAACTAATGAATCTATTTTAAATAAAATCATTAAAAATTATTTCTAGAAAATAATTAATGTTTTTGCCTTTAAATTTAATAATAGTTTAATTAATTTAAATTTAAAATTAATGAGACTAAACGTGAACTGCTAAACGTAATTATTGATAGTTAATGTTTATAAGACAAAAACAATAAATGAGAATGTATCATATTTTTTAACAAGACAATACATTTTTTTTTTAAAGCATCAACATTTAAAATGTTAAGCATTTTGTTTAATTTTTATTATTTAAACAATTTTAATTTATTTTGAAGTTACAATTTTACTTTTAAAACAATCGGTCAGTAGTATCCATATTAATTTAAATATATTATTTTAACACTTAAGTGTAACGTTATTATTCTATACATTTGAATATCAAATATATTTTCATATAACTCCTACATTCTTAATTATTTAAAAATGGCAACTAAATGACGGTAAAGTTATTTCTGTTTATAAAGTTCGTTCTAGGGAGTTTTTTCTCTGTTTTTTGAATCTCTAAAATTAAATAACGATATTATATACGAGTAAAATAGACAACAAACGTTTATGATATATGTTCAATAATGGTCATCATGATTTAACCAGTTATTTCTCGAAGTGCTTTAAAAAAAACGTTATTTAATAAAAAATAAATAAAAACTTAAATCATTTATATGATCAAAGATGGATAAAAAGATAAAGAAAGCGTAATGAAGAGTGAAAGAGATGAAGAGAGAAGGAAAAATAATCATTATATACCTACAAGATGTCTTGTCACCTTAATGGTGTTACAAAAAGTGTGTCATAAGGTCATTGCTTATAAGTTACTGCTGTGGACTATTGACTCGCCTGATTATAATTAAGTATCACTACAAACCTATCACGTCAGTTCATAATTTGTTGATGTATTTTTCCTATTATTGTCTTTAAATTCAAATAATTATGTTGCCGAAGATATTTTTGTGGTTTTTTAATCTCAATGCCGTCATAATGGTTCTTCCTTATAAAACTTTAATTACCTACTTGTCAAATAATTTTCTCTTAGACTTCATGATCTTGACACAAAAACACTTAAAAATTAACTACATAAAGAAGAGGGTCGGTTGATCGTCTTTGTAAACGTATGTAAATCCATTATGTTTTCACGAATAAAAAGTTCAACATTCTATATGAATTACTTTATATTATTTAAATATGGATTTTTTTGTGAATTATCTACTCCCAATATTCATACAATTTTACCATCAATCCGACCAACGTTTTTTTTTTTTTTTTAAACGCGCTGTTATTTGATTTTAAAAATAAATGTACAATGTGAACTTGCAACAATTATTTTTAATGAGTATTTAGCAATTATTTCAACTTTTATAATTATGTTTTATTTTAGATATTTGGACATGTTTGAGTCCAGATATACTTTGCTGTCGGACAAATTCGATTTAACCCCTAGCTGTATTTGAGCGCCATTCCAAATAACTTTGAAACAATGACTTACGACACCAGCGGAGTAAAACGCGAGAAGCCGTCGCCAACAGAAGACAATCACGAATCATGGCAGGCCATGAGCATTATGTCAAAAGCAAAATTTATGTTGAAACACTGTACAGTGGAGCCGATGTTGGGGTGCTATATAGTATCCAGTGTGCTGGCATCGCTTGCCACGCAGAATCTAAACTTACAGAAGGCGTGCCGGGTAAATCTCCAACTGGACAACGCCACATGTTCGGCGCTCGAGAGCCGTACCATGGACAACTATACGAGAGAAGACGAAGTGGTCGTCCAAGAGCTAGTTGCCGATATGATAATATGGAAAACAATCGTGCAAAGCAGTATACCGTCGGTGCTAATAATATTCATCGGGTCGTGGAGTGATCGGAATCATAAACGCAAGCCGTGCATGTTGATACCAATCATTGGTGAATTCCTCACCAGCATCGGCCTGTTGGTCTGTACTTACTACTTTTACGATCTCCCGATGGAGGTAGCCGGGCTCGTGGAGTCCGTACCGCCGGCTATGACCGGTGGATGGATGACCATGTTCATGGCCGTGTTCAGCTATGTAGGAGACGTGACTACGGTTAGTAAAAAACCCAATTGCGCCTAAGCTATATCAATCACAGTTTAGTCAATAACGTAATTTTACCAAGTCCTATTTGTGATTAGATTACTGTGTATGCGACATGTGCAAACCGTATATAGAGTTGCAATTTCCGCGTATAATTTATAATCCATTATTCACGTTCCTCAGAAAACGCGGACAAACGATCCTGCACAGAAAGCAATTTAGTGCATAATATATTGGTAAAAATATATTTTTTTAATTTGTTCGTTTTGATTTTTCAGGTAAAAATGCGCACGTTAAGGATTGGTATAGTGAACGTTTTCTGTTCTGTGGGCGTGCCTATCGGCACCGCGTTATCCGGGGTATTGTTCCGAGAACTTGGATTTTACGGTGTATACATCATAGCCACAGTATTATACATATTTGCATTTGTATACGGCATGGTTTTTATTAAAGAGACAAAACCAGTGATCAGAATTGAAAGCAAGGAGCCACCGAGGGACACGTCTTGTTTGGATTTCCTCAAGGACTTTTTTAGCCTGAGCCATATTAAAGAAGCCGTTCGAGTGACATTTAAAGAAGGACAGTACAACCGAAGACTAAGAATTATTGCTTTAATGGTTGTTGTCATCGTTGTTATGGGCCCTTTGCATGGTTTGTAAATTTATGAAAAAAAAAAAATGTATATGCTTAAACGTGTTATTTCTATTATATTGAGTATACAATTTATTTTTATACACTTGTTAAGTCAACCTTGGAATTTGAAAACCTGACGGTTTAATACGGTTGATTTGAATGGTAATAAAATTACGTTATACAATACTATATAATATTGAAAATAAATTATGTAAAACATAACTTAAAAGAAATATCAACTTCTTTTCTATGAAATATAAATCAAATCCATATCTAATCAACACTACCGTCTATAGTACTTCATATGATACTTTAAAAAAAAAATTGTATATTTCTTTCTTAAATTACTATTATTTTATTAAGTACTTTAAGATGATTAATTTTTTCATTTTAATTTTATTCACATTAAAAAACTATTTATGTATTTCCTACATAAACCTGACATTCTGATGTCTTACACAAGAGTAATACTATATTATTTTAGTTGGTATAAATAATTTTATAAACATTTTTGCTTTTTTTTATTAAACCTTATTCTACTTTTTTATCATATCTACTAAACAGTTATAAATATTAATTTAATGGAAATGAACGTAATTATCTGGAGGTTATTTTTAATTTGTAGTTACATAATAATAATACTATAGTTTCTATATATACTATCATTATAGTTGATTTTTTGAATATAAAAATTCCGTGATAGGAAAAAGTGAAAAAGACAATGGAAACGAAAAATTAAAATATTAGTAAATAAAATTGTTTTAATCATGATGACCTTAGACTCTGTAACAAAGTTTTTTAATTGCTTTTAAAACTTAAAACTTACAATTATAATACACATCACTGTATTTGTTAACTTATCAATCGTTTTAAATAATTATTACTGAATTTAATTTTACAACATCATTCACATTTTTTCTCTATTAAAGTAGGTAAATACAATTTAATGTGAATTAAATTACGTGTACAAATAATTTTTTTATACTTCTTAGTTATTACTCTAAATTATAACTACAGTACTGCTGTTTGTCATTGCTATTTATTATTTCGTTATTGAAATAAGTTACCTACCAGTTTCATCTTGAATAATACAGTAAACGTTGACCGTGGATTATTTTAACATAATACTATGTCAACAAATATATTTATTTTTTTAAATTTATTCATATAAGCAACGACATTTTTTATAGTTTATTTAAATATAAATACATTGTATTACTACTACTAATAATAATAATAATAACACTTCAACGAACCCTGTAGTTTAAAATTATGTGAAATGATATAAATAGTTAACTATTTAAAATATTTATAATTTGATCATTTCAAATTCTACCGTGCTTAATATACTTGGTTTGTGATTCATTAGCTTAACATATATAATTCAACATTTTCAGGTGAAATGTCTGTAATGTATCTGTTTACACGAGTACGTTTCAATTGGGACGAAGTGAACTACAGTATGTTTTCCACGTATTCTATGATTACTAATCTAGTAGGTTCGTCAATATTTCTACGCCAAATAGTTTTGAGGTTTTTATTGTTACACTAGTAAAATAATACTGTTTTTATTTTAATTTTAAACAGGTACGATGTTTTCGGTTGGAGTATTCAGTCATATGTTGCAAATCGACGATGCATTAATCGGAGTAATATCATGTATGAGTAAAATATTGGCTGGATTTGTTTACGCATTTGCTACAACGGATTTCGTATTTTACTTGGGTGAGTAACAAAACAAATCCAGCCTATATCATTAAATATATTTCATAATATATTAATTTTTTTGATATGGCCATAAAAATCATTTATTTTAAATTTGATATTACAGTAGATTGATACAGTAGGAAAGTTTTTGCAATTCTGACGAATTTTGTCAAAATTATAACTTCAAAAAAATGCATGTAAAAATAAATTGTCATCAACGTAAAGAATATATATAATATATATATATATATATATTACGTCTTTTTTTTTTTTGTTTTTGTAAGACTAATTGTTATAACACGCTTAAAATAATTTACTAAGAGTATGCCATACATCCACGTCAGTAATTTATTGTCTATATTTCAAATGCGTAACATATAAAATTTATAATCAGAAGTTCATATTCATTAGTGTTAAAATTAATGTGAATTAACCTTTTATAAAATTTAAAGAAATAAATATTTTTGTATTTTTACTTCGGTATTTTATGATATTTTAATTTTTAGATTGAAATATATTTTAACATGCTCATAATTAACTCGAACATTTTAATATTGTAAGAAACTTACGCACAAATAAAAATTTTTGCTAAGTTTGATTATTGGTTAATTCTAAATACTGAGCATACATTTTTTATGTTACGAACTTTTAAGACGGAAACAATTGACCATCTAAGAATAAAACATATTGTAATCGATTCGTATTATATGTATATTGTTCTGAGAAATAAAAACTGAATATAACAAAAATAAAATAATAAATATTATTGGTTACTTACTATTATATTTTATACTTTTACAAGTGTTAATGCAAAAAAAAAAAAATTGTCTTTTTTATTAATTTAAGTTTTTAAAACAAATCCCTGTTATAACAAAAATATTATGTTTACAGCACCACTTGTTGACATTGTAAATGGCACGTCGTTTATTGCCATGAGATCAATTATTTCAAAACTTGTACCGCCAGATGAATTAGGTATGTGTTTGCTTAAAATTGCTTTTTTCGTATTTAATCTTACTCAAATTATTTCAGGAAAAGTAAACTCGCTGTTTGGCGTATGTGAAGCTCTTGTACCTCTAATTTATGGACCAATGTACAGCGCTGTATATAAGGCTACACTGAAGACAGTTCCAGGAGCTTTTTTCTTACTCGGTGGTGCATTAACTGCTCCAGCAGCTCTTATATTTTTGTTAGTATAATATTGATGTTCTACATTGTGTTTATCTATAAATATAGTTCAAAGATTAAAACGATTACAAATTATATTATTTTTGATATACACTTATATAAATATTACTTCATTAGAAAATGTCTTAACCTAACTTTTAAATGTATTACTTATAAATATCATAATATTTATTTATCTATAATAGATGGATGTACAATGAACATAAAAAAGAACAAAGAGAAAAAGAAGCAGAGATCAAAGATGAAGAAAAAAAATCTGGTCCGCTAAAGAAAAAAAATAGTTTAGACTTCAGGATATCTTCGCATGACTTTGACTTGAAAACTATATTAGATAGACGAACACAGACTCACAGAGGTTCGGGACAATTTTCAAGTCTAGGATTGGACAACATAGCATTCCAAATGGAAGAAGGAGCTTCTAAAGGCTAATAATCCTGATGACTAACAATATGATTGAGTATTTTTTAATTCCTAATGTCATTAGGACACAACTTTGTTCATTCGTATCATGTGTAATATGTACATAAGTTAAGACGTCCGTGAAAATTATTATGTAAAATTATTCAAAATTAGTAACTTAATGTCCATATTTTGATTTTTTTTATGTACGTCTGTGAATTTTTATCACCATAGTTGAAAACAAATTTCATCATTTATATTGATCGTTTTCCTGTGTATATACAGTGTGTTAGTTTTTGGAAAAATTTTCTTTGAAAATATTACCATTGACTTTCTATAGGTCTGAAGTAAAATTTAAACGTATAATCATGGATAAAAACAACTTTAAGTGATTAAATAATAATTCTACTGACCTAATCCCAAATGAAAATATTGTAAATTATATATAAATATATATATATAAACTGTTAATAGTCAAGCGAGTAATTTAATATAATAGTTATAGTATTGTCTTATAGACATGAAGTACAGTTTTCTTATTTTATTTATTCAGACAGACTTTAACTCCTAAATTTTAAGTTACCCTTCTTTGTACATGTAAATATACATAAATATATAAATATATATACATGTTTATAAATAGTTATGCATTAGTTATGTTTTTATAATATTACACCGCGATGTATTAAAATAAATAAGTTGTTTATATTGGTTTGGTTAAAAAATATAAATTTAAGAAAATTAATTTGATTTTAATCTTACTGTAATAATATATTTTTTTTTTTTTTTTATTATTATTATTATTATAAATGTATAATATGTTTATCATGTATTATGTGTTTGGCATATAATTGTATTTAGTGTTAAAAGTGTAGAAAAAAAAATTACAGTTATGAAATAAAAATTTGAAAATTGTATTATATTACCAGAAAGATTAAAATTGTGTTTGTTTAAAAAGATATATAAGTGATAATAAGTATAAGCTTGTTGATTTTAAAATTAAATTTTAGATAACTAAAAACTCTCTTTTGATTTTCTAAACATTGTGAAGTATAATCTCAACCTTACATCATGGACCATGATTTCATTTATAAACCTACTCATTCAATGATAATACAGCAAACCAATACCAGAAAAAAAAATAATCATAATTAAATGAAAATATTTTTACCATTTATATAAAAAACATAAAATTATAATGTATTACATTTTTTTTTTTATTTAGCGATAAACTGATTTAACTTTAAACAGTTAATCTGTAAATATTTATTAGTTTTTAAAGTTTTTGTTCAATATTATAAAGTGGTTATATTAAATTCCCGAAAAATGAAAATACCATATTTAAGGTACTTTTTTATTCATTTTATACATTTAGTAATTTTTAATAAAATAATAATACTTTAATATTAAATAGAAATCACTAGTAAATTACTTGATAAATTTATTTATTTATAGATATTTAAATAATTATAATAAAACCTTAACATTTCTTATTTAAAGCTTCTTAAATATACAAAAATTATTTGATACTTGCTCATTGCATTTCATTTATAAATTATTATTAGTAATATTTGAAAAATTTTCTGCACCTTGTTTCTTAAATTGTAACTATACACTTGTAACATGAACTGAATTGAACTTTTTAAATTAATTTATATTATTCTAGTAATTTATATATTTATTATTTAATTTTAATATATTTGCAATAAATATCAGTTACCATTTCTTTAATGTTTAAAACTTTATAACTTTTTAACAGTTATCAAATTCAGGTTTATAGTTTTAATAAAAGTTTAATTTTGAAATCATATTTCAAGACATATTTATTTACTGTTGAATCAATTAGTGGGAAATACAGAGATTTAAATTTATTTATATAATTTTATTATTTACGGTTAATTTTACACTTTTAATAAAAGTTTGTGAATAAATCGTAATACGTAAAATATAGAAACGTATACTAAGTAAATAGATATATTTATATATATCAATATATATGTATGGTCTATGAGTTTTTTTATCGTCGTGCGACAGACCGTAAAAAAATGTATTGATATTAATCATTGTATATGATAAATAATAAATACATACCTATTTTAGTATCGTACGTGGTATTCGTTTAAATGTTTTGTAATATATTTCTATTAACGAAACGATGACGAATCATTAGTAACTTCATCGTTTTATTCATACCTATTTAATGATAGTAATATTAATCATAGAATGTTTTCGAAACGTACATCACGAACTGCAATCGCTTGTAATTAAGTTAATGCAAACTTCAAACCTATATTCGCAAAATTGTTTTGTGGATGAATAAAATGCAAAGTTTTCTATTTTTACTAAAAATACGTTTCGAACCATTGCACCGACATTTCAATATATAGATGAAAATCTAGACTATGTCCAGAAAAATAACTCTGTTCAGAAGATATTCGTTTTTATTTTACGAAACCTCGTACATGATATAATATAGGTAAAAATAACAACACTGAACATAGTATAGTTAAATACAATTACACTTGACAAGCAACAGCTGGGTGAGTAACTATAATTATAGTACACTTATATTAGTTTAGGATTAAGTATTTAGGTTGATCACCGCAATTGATAAAATGCCTCTTCATATGTGTAATAGTTTAAAAATGTTAAACAAACATAAGAACAAATTAAGACTTCCCTTTGAATTTATATCGGAAAAAGCATTTATTCACGGCTGGCCGGTTCCAATAAGTGTTCAGCAAAACCAATTAGACATATGTGTTGTTAACTTTGATAATTAAGTCCATTATCAAATTTAAAAGTAAAAATATTATCATTGTTCCTTTGTCATCTTATGATGATTTACGATATTTCAATTTTTAAACTTGTTATGGGAATTTTTAACCTATTATATTTTTATTAATTGCTTAAAAATTGAAATATCGTATGAAACCGACATTTGATGATTAGTTAACTGTAACGTTAAAGCTAATCATAAATAATTTTGCTCTACGTATATTTGTAAAAGGGAGATAATACATTGTATCATTTTAATCAAATTTTACCCGTAATGCGTGCGTACATATTATTATAAAGAGTTATATTATTTAACATTAGTTGTCGACAAATAAACAAAACATAATGGTTTTTATTTTACGTATTATGATTTATTACTAGATAGATCTGATAATATTTACATACTACATACGCGTAAATAAGCTACAACGTAAATACAAGATGTTTTAATTTATATTATATAAATAAATGATTATGAAAAATTTGTAGTTTAACTTTTCAATAGAAAGAACTGACAATTGCGTTTTCATAAAATGAATTTGAATGTAATAAAATTTTAATCTAGACAATTAAAAAAATATTTTCTATTAATTTTAAGCATTTCTGACTTAAAGCTATTATTATATATGTATTTTAATTAACAAAACAACTAAAATTGCTTAAACAAAAATACCTTTTTATTTTTCTCAAGAAGTATTTTTCTATTCATCTAGATCAGCGGTTCTCAAACTTTTTATTTCGCGTACCATTTAAGTATATTATCAATCAGTCGCGTACCACTGATGATTAAAAATCCTACCACCATGCGGTCTTCCGCAGTTCCGCGTACCATCATGTAGTCTTTCGCGTACCACTAGTGGTACGCGTACCACAGTTTGAGAACCGCTGATCTAGATATTACTAATATTTTACAGATGGTATTACGTAATAAAATACTTAAAAGTAATATTGTAAAGTTAATTTAAGATTCTGGGTGGAGCAATTAATGAATTGATTTTACAAAACTGTGTTTATGTTTTTTTTTTATTTACACTATAAGAAGTTGAAAAAAATTGATTCATTCCCAAGTATGAGGGTCTAATAGAAAATTATATGAAGTTTGGATTAAATTTTCAAAATAATTTGAATTTTTTATTCATCTATTTATAGGTATGAATATTTTTCGACTTTAATTAAATTTTTTCTTCAATTTTTGTCGATTTATATGCTTTTGAGGCTATACTTTGAAAATCCAATACAAGGTGCCTCATATATTATTATTATAGCCATTTATAAATACTAAAAATAGTATAGGCAAATATTTTTTTATTAGCAATTTAAGTTTAAATTTGAAAAATATTGTATGTTAAGCATCCATAACCGTTAAAATAATAGTAAAAAAAAAAAAATAAATAAATAAATATATTTAGTAATTTAGGTCAACAGATTGCTAATCATGTTTCGTGTATAAAAATATGTAATTTAAATGAAATTTAACAAATCCATATTTCATTACACTAATCCAATCAACACCTACTGTACAATATAACAGTACTCATTATCGATCTGTTTGATTTGACTGATGTAATGTGTTTGCCGCTCATTAAATAAAATTATTTATATCATTAAAAACTTAAAAGTATTTTTAATACCTTCAAAATAAATATATTACTATATTTAATAACCTACAGAAAATTAGCAAAAAAATAAAAATATATATTGACACTCAGGTTATTATATAATAAGTTATCTTATTATCTAATTAGTATTTTAATATTTTTAAATTATAATAAATAATAATAATTCTTGTCATAACTTATATTTTATGATTTACTGATAATATGTCAAACCTTGATATCTAGTTAATAGTAGAAATTTAATATGTGTGCACCTGAGCATCAATAATTTTATTTTTAACTATATATATTAACCTTCTGCAAAAATGAATGATTTAATAGTAGGAAATGCAATTATATATTGTTACAGATGATAGTAAAAAAAAATTATAGTGAAATAACAGTATTTTTTGCAAATTAACTATGCTAATTACATGTAAGAATAAACACACATTCTACGAGCGAATTTTATTTCCAGGTTTCGTAAACGAGACAACATTATTTTCGTTAAAATATAACTAGATTTTAAGGTGTTATGTAGTATAATGTTTTAATTTTAGATATTATTTATCTTTAAAGAAAAAATTGTAAAGATAATAATTAGCGTGATGTTAAAAAGTATACAGTAATATTTAACTGATAATAGCCTATACCAGATTAATTATACTATAGCTGTAGTTCGTGACAGCAATTTTTGGGACAATTAGATAGATAAAATATAGCAAACATATTGGGATTTTGTATTTTGTATGTAAATTTAAATTCAAACTGTATGATAGCAAATAGGATTAAATGTATAAAATTGCGTTGTAGGCGCTAAAATAATGTGGATGATAAATGTCCGAAACGTTATTCATCGAAAATAAAATTTTAGAACGAGAACAACTTATCATTTAAAATTCATTAATTTATACAACTTTTTTAGTGATGTATTATAAAGATAATACGTCTACGATTAGACTAACTAGTATTTACCTGTTTTTTTTTTTTATTTTCTTAGATAAATTCTTCCTTTTTTATA